AATATGGATCGTTCATAACTTATGCGTCATTTGATGGTGGAAAGTGTGCTTTCATTCGTAAAGGCTGCTCCTTTTATGCCTATCATGATTGCTGAGAGTAATATCCGCCCTCCACTTCACTTAGCCACTAAATTATATGACTTTTTTTTTTCATTTGAAGTTTTCATCAAAAGCGAATGGTGAATAATGTTCTAATAGCCATGTATTTCACAAGTTACGACAATTGTACACATTTTCACATCAACATAGGTTGGTTAAACAACAAAACAGTTGTAATACAATGCAACATAAAAACACATATTATTAGTATTAATAAAAGGTGCGGATGTGTATTTTAAAATTTCACTAAATATTGGTTATAATTATACACTGGACTAGAGCCGGCTGTGCGTGCACAGCCGGATGGCCAACTAGTAATTATCATAAGAAAAGATATCTATTATTATGGAAAAGGCTATAGTCTCGTTAGGGAACCATTCCGTCGGGGTTTTTAACCGTTCGATACACATGTATATTAATGTAGAATATATAATCTACGGTTAAAAACCCAGACGGAATGGTTCCGTGATTGGACTGCAGTATTTCCCATTATTTATATATAAAGTATATATCATGTAATTCTTCTCGATAAGGGTTAAAACTCCATAATATTTACATATTATAAGTTTGGGGATGACTACAGTCCAGTTACAAGATGGTTTCGTAAGTGCTTTTCATCGTTGGATACACATACAAATTATTTAGTATAGATAATCTACGGTAACAAACACTGACATAATCATCCGTCAAGAAAACGATTCCCTATAAATTAAGAATACATAAATAAAAAAAATCATATACTAGGAACTAAATAATAAACAAATAAATGAATAGAAAAATTCTTTATAAATTGCTTTGTTTGCATAATAAGAAAAAATCATCAAAATTAACATCAAAGAAATTAGGATTAAGTTAACAAAATAGTATGTTATAATTAGAGTAATCTGAAATCATGTACATAATTGAGATATATACTGGCAACATGAAACTCGCAATCCTGATGGCTACTTTATGAAACAACTGTACAAAATTGAACCAAACTGTACTGGAGGTGATCCAGGCGGTCTGTGTTCAAGTTTCCGCTGAAATCCAGAAGGAAGCTTCCATTCTGGCATGGCGTCCACTCCTAAGATCAACATTCCTCTGCCACCGGACCCTGGTAATTTCCCTTTTAATCTTCGTTAATTCGACGTATTTTCTCCGATTTGGTTTCGGATTAATTCTCAAAAGTTGAGATTCTATTCGCTTTGATTTATCTAACAGCTGTATTTGATTTGTTCGAATAAATGATTTACTGAAAATTGCTTAACTGATTTTCTGTTTGAATTGCTGATCAAATTTTCGGAGAATTCGAAATTTGTTTATTTGTTCCGTGTTGTTTTGGCAGTCTATTTGATGATTGGAGTGAAAATGATGTTCAAAGGGGATTACATTTTGGTGGTTTAGCATAGTAGGAGGTGATTTTGTGATGTATGGGCTGTGTATTCATATGGAAGCATTAATTCTTGTAGGATTTTAGATTTTACCCCAATTCTACATAGGTTGTGAAGCTCAAGTAATCACATGACTTGTAAGTGATGTAGTGGTGAAATGTTCATCTCGTTATCTGATGAGTCGAATTGTTTTGGTATAAGAATAGCAGAATAAGTTTGGACTTTGTTTAGTTTTTCGACTGCCTCGTTTTTGGCTTTTTAGCTTTTATCCATGGTTGTATATTAGTACAAGTGTCTGGAACGATGAACCATTTAGCATATTGCCTTTTGCAGGTGGTTGAGTAATTTTTTTTTACATCGACTCCTATAGCCTGCCTTTTGAGATGTATCAGAACAGGATTCTAAGAATGCAGTTGTTTTGGTTTATGTCATGAAAGGTCACTTAATCTTATGTTTGCAGGTGAAAAACCCCTTGGAAATGAAGCATATTTTTCTACAGTGCCAATCCATGTTGTCACCCGTGCATCTCAACTTCCTGCAGAATTTCTGCAGCCTTCACATGAGAGGCAACTGGTCATTGGCTTTGATTGTGAGGGGGTTGATCTCTGTCGAGACGGGACTCTTTGTATTATTCAGGTTCCTTTTGTTTTTATTTGTTTATTTATATATTTTGGAGAAAATAGCAGACTATTCTTCTAGATATCAAGAGAGCCTAAATATGATTTTTGGTTTTTTCAAACTCTAAAGTGCATTGAGGAAGAACTAGATACGGTTAAGAGACTTCATGAAGCCATTCACTTGAAATCAGTGTCTACTGAATGTGTAGAGCTGGTCACAGTACTTTTCTGATCGTGTGCAGTATTTTTATTTTATTTTTTACTTTTTTCCTGTTTGCCTCTGCAATTTATCGAAAGAATTTAGAATCATGGGAAAGAATAAGGTTTTTGGTTAATGGTCGTATCATTCTGTCTTTGATTGCTAATGCATATAGTTACCCTGTAATATTTTCCATAGGCTTAAACCAACGCCAGTTTTGCATTTGGGTTGTGAAGTAGGTGCAATATGACTGTTTGACTAGTCAGTCTTCATTTTAATCAGAAACAGAATTTCAGCATTCTGTGCTGGTTCATATAGATGGCATAAAGTTGATCGCCGGCTGGATGCAAAGTACTAAATGCATTTAAAAATATTTCAGTTTGACAGAAGCTATTCTTTATGCTATTACCTTGCGAAGTTCATAGATGCATGTGAGATTTATGTACTTATAAGTGATGTACATTTGTGCTGCAGCTTGCCTTTCCAGATGCGATATATCTGGTTGATGCCATTGAGGGTGGAGATACACTGGTGAAAGCCTGTAAGCCAGCACTTGAATCAAGTTACATCACTAAAGTTATTCATGACTGCAAAAGGGATAGTGAGGTCTCTAGCTAATAGTTCTCTCTTATGACCCTCATGATGTCTGGAATATATTAAAATTTATCTTGTGTTTGTTTATATGTTGCAGGCATTGTACTTTCAATTTGGCATTAAGTTGCATAATGTTGTGGACACCCAGGTTCGTATTTCTTTTTGAAGATGATGTGTATAAAATTATTTTAAAATATGAGTATAGGTTAGCAAAAAAACACTTGCTTTGCTCCTTGGTCTTCTATTGAACTAGTGCTGCTCCTGGCATGCTTTTGGTCTAATAAACGAGATAATGTAAAAATCTTCTTTGCATGAAGTTTGAAAGAATTTGTCAAAAGAGTAGAGGGGCTTATTTTGTGCCAGAAACTCCTGGTGTGCTTTTTCCGTCATTAACTTTTTGGTGATTGGTGGGTTTCTAGCCCTTGATTGAAAATGTTAAAGCTCGTGGCTTTTGGGAGGCGATCCCTCATTAAAGTTAGATGAGCACTCTCTGTATATGAATGTAAATATGCCTGCCTGTATGGGCAGTCGGGCACAGAGTTATTATATTTGGAGAATTTTGTTGCATGAAGGTGGTATACTATTGCTATTATCGTTTCTCCCCTTGTGAGTATTTTCCTTTTGACTATTTAAATGCATATAACTCTCCAACTTTGTTTTGTCTTTATTATCTGGTTTTGTTTACTATTTATTTATTGTTTCTGGCAATGTTTATAAGCAGATTGCTTATTCTCTGATCAAGGAGCAAGAGGGACATAAAAGAGTTCCAGATGACTACATATCATTTGTTGGCCTGCTTGCTGACCCTCGATTTGGTGGTATGTTTTTCTTTATTTTGTTTTTCGAAAGTAAAACTTCCACCACAGGGTTAGTCTGCAATTGCTTGGTGACAATGTCTATCATGGACAAGGGATGTAGAAATGATGGTCAGAGCCTGTGGTGCTCTTTCTAACCAAATTAGCAAACTTTATCGTACTTTGAACTGTTATAATATTGCAAGGGTGTGGTCGATATGAAGAGATATGCATAAATCTAGTGAGGGAAAAATGAAAAGGATAAAGGGGAGAAACAAAAGAAATCATCAATGGCTTGCATAAAATTAGAACAACTATCAGAATTTCACCTTTATGGTATCGTTTTCATCTTTACCCTTCCAAAATTTCTCTTAAATGTTGATACATCTGTATGCACAATTGTCTCATATGAATTCTTAAAAGACATACATATCATTAACTGTTTTAGAAACTTTTGTTGCTGAAACTATGAATCGTCAACTTTTTAACTTACTAATCTTGCATTTTGTGTGTCCGTGCATGCTTTATTACTGATCAGTTCGTTGTTTGTCAAAGGTATAATCTAAGCATTATAGTTTATGCTTTGTGAGGAAAGCCTGCTCTTTAGTGTGCCTTGATTAGCAAGATCTTTTGCAGGCATTTCATATGTTGAGAAGGAAGAAGTCCGCATCCGCCTGAGGCAGGTTAGTTTTAATTTTTCTTTCATCTTCTCGAAGTGGCTTAGTTTATGCGACTAAAAGTTATTGTGTGCATAGTTAGCCCTGACATAATTAGAATGGCTTAAATCTCAAGCTACTGATTTATGGCATAAATTGCTTAATTTTATCTGGCTTTATCTCCAAACAACTGCACTTCCCTTTTCATCCGTCACCATAGTACTGGTTGTATGCTTGGTGCAGACCTGATTTTATCTTATTTTACAATAATCTTGCAGGATCCCAACTTCTGGACCTATAGGCCATTGTCTGAACTAATGATCCGTGCAGCTGCAGATGATGTCCGTTTTCTTCTGTTTATTTATCACAAGATGGTGGAGAAACTAAATGAGAGATCCTTATGGTATCTTGCTGTTCGTGGTGCACTTTATTGTCGTTGTTTTTGTACCAATGACAGTAATTTTGCAGATTGGCCCGCACTACCTCCAGTTCCAGGTATTTATTCTCTTCTACCATACTAGTTTAAATTTTGTTTAATATTTCAACGACTAAAAAGCATGTGCATTATCAATCAGACAATTACATAAATGAATGTACAGCATATCAAATTGTATCATGTTACTGTAAACCTTGCAAAGAAACTGAAATATGTTATCAATGTGTTTGTCATTTCCTTAGTTTGTTGATGTAGAAATAGCTACTTTGGTGCAATACAAGAGATGGATCGTGGATTTTTATTGCTTTCATCCTGTAAAATTTATGGTTCACTTTTTCGTACTACCATAAATACACTTGTATTCTGATTTGTATATGTTTAATCCTGCAGAAAATCTGATTGCTGATGAGAATGCCCCAGAGGAAGAAAACCTGTATGTCCTCGATATTCCCCGTGGAAAAATGGGATGTGTTATTGGAAAACGAGGAGCTAATATCTTGTCTGTAAAGGAATCGTGCAGGTATGCATTATTCGTGTGGTAATTCTGTCACCCTTAAATGATAGTTCCAATTTGAAAACTGAAACATCATCTACAAAAAAATGATAGTTTCACAAGATGTATATGCTTTGTTCCTTTTTTTTTTTTTT